CATTGAATCAACAAGGACACCATGCACAAGAGAAAAGCCCCCAGAGGGAGAACTGCTGGTGCTGATTCCTGCCTTGTCTCCCTTCTGATTCAGCAGTAGCTTAATTAAACTCTGAAGTTTAGTTTCAGCGAAGGGACAAACTGACATCCTTTCAACTTCCCTCTTGTTTGCCTCTTCCCCATTGTCAGAGGTGATAGAGGTGCACTGGAATCCTCACACAGCTCTGTGTGTCCATGATTTCTTGAGGAGGCAAAACATAGAAGGACACATGTGGGTAAGCACGGCAATGGAGCAGCCAGGTAGGAAGGCAGATGCCATGATATCACACATCTCGTGTAGTCTTCTTCTGAGACTTTGTCCATCCCACTAAGATGTACTGAGAGAATTCTGCCAACAGTTAATTTGGGAGAGCTCAGTAACATCTGGCTTTAATTGCCACAGACAAATAATTCTCTTAGGGACCGTGAGTACTAGAATGCCTGCAGCCCTACCTGGATAGCTATGGACTGGTCTACGAAAGGCAGAAGCACAGATGGAGAACTCGTGCCAAAATGAGCCAACCCTTCGATTATCATTCCCCCAAGCCATATACATGTGGGTGATGCTGCTGTTCCTATGCTAACATCAAGCACTGGAACGGGCTGGGCTGCCCAGGGAGGTGGTGCAAGAAATGAGGACAGGTGGACATGGCACTGAGGGATGGTTTCATGATGAGGCATGGTAGCTCAGGTTGATGGTTGGAATTAATGATCTTCAAGGTCTTTTCCAACCTGCCTGACTGCATGGTTCCAAACCACAGGGCCAAAGTGGACATGTGGTCTCATTGGCTGCACACCTAATTCTACTCAGTTGATCTCTGCCCAAGGAGTAGAATGTGTCCAGCATCACACCCTAGGGTGAAGAGGGGTGGATCAGGGGAGATTTGTTCTTGCTGAGTTAGTCAGCACACATGGAGCATCACCAGGGAGGCTGTGCTGGGAAAAGCTGCAGCCAGGTCAGTCTGGTCCCTCATTGCCCACCAGCACTCCTCCTGCTGTTCTGTGTTGTTCAGCTTCCATCCTCCAGGAGCTGGATGGTCATTCACAGCACCCATGTGGAGTCCAAGGCTGCAGGTAGGAAGGGCATAAAGTTCTTTGCATTTTCATTTCACCAGTAGTTATCTTTCAACTCACACCACTTGCTGAGAAGAAAATAAGCTTGCCTTGTGCTATAAGGGAGAGCAAAGAAGACACGTTTTTATTGTTCTGCTAAGCATCTCTGATGCCACTGCCCTGCCTTTGAAGGCCACTGGTGACCTCTCTTGCTCTGGTCAGCATATCTGGATTGTGTTTTTGAGCTTCCACATTCAGCATACTGCAAGGCAGGCAGTGACTCCAAAGCCTATTGAAGGAGCAGAGAAGGGACTGCTCATCTGTATGCATTTAGGTCACAGGGACCACTGGAAAAGATGTCTCTTACCTGTCTCCTCTTAGCAAGAGCTGAATTGTCAAATGGAGATATTGTTAACGAAACACAGGGCCCAAAGCACCTATCTCTGCCAGCTCTGTTACAGATGAAAAAGAATATTTGGAGGTCTGTTAGAAGAAAAAAAAGAGGCATCTTGGATAGACTCCCTTCCTCTCCCCTTTCTCTGTCTCTTGCCTCACAAAGAAGTGGCCTTTTAAAATCTCTTATCTGGAAGTTTCAGTTTAAAGAGCCGCTGATGCCTCTTTGAAAACACTGAAAAGCGCTTCAGGAACGGTTCTGCTGCTCCCTGTGTCCTGCCTGCCTTTCCCCCCTCTTTTTTTCTTTCATTTTGAAATAGATTTACATTAGAAAAGGCTGCTCCTTAGCAGCTTCCTGGTCTCAGTCTGATTCATAGCAGCAGTGATGCCTGCTGTTGTAGCCTTCCTTGGAATGCCAGAATGTGGGAGTGAGGAGAGAAAAGTCCTTGAAGTTGTCAGAATTTGCCTTAACAATCCTTTCTGTGCATCTGCCATTTCCCAGAAGCCAGAGGCTGTGTCCTTAAAAGACAAAACAAAACAGAACAAACCACCACCACCAAAAGAACTGCTCCAAAGCCAACAAATTTTGGGTGTGAAGACCAACGTTTCTTGTATTTCCAAAACTTCCATGTATTTCAACTGTCTCAACCCAAATTGTCCTGGAAGGGTCGTGTGTCTTCTTCCTCTCTATGGGTAAGGGAAGATGCCCAGGGCTGATTCATTCAGTGCTGGTTGCTGTTGACCAACCGTAGGCTGAGTGCTGACAAAAGTGGTAACTGCCCTCTGTTGGCAGTTCTGTGATCACATTTGGACAACCTTACACTGAGCACCTTCAGTGCATGAATGGCACTGATGGCGACTGATGTAAGTAAAAGAAATGTATGCATTGCTGGCTTTGGAGAGCTGCTGTGAGGTTCTTCATCAGGAGAAGAAGCAGTCCACCTGGAACACCATTGAGACAGGCACAATCTCTTTCTTCACCAGTTTTGAAACCCCCTTCCTTGGTCACTCTGCAAGGATATTATACAACAGGAATGGGCAAACAGCGGTTATTTATGAGTCACTGCACACTCATAGCTCTCACTATGAGGATAAGTGTGACTGACCATCACCCTTGATGCCATATTCCCCCATGACAGCCTCTGCTTGCCGGGCAGGTGAGCAGGAAGGTCCCTCTCATTTCTCTTTGGAGCAGATGGTTGTTGATACTGCTGTGCTACGTGACGATCAGCACCCAGCAGATCATGACAGATGGTAACAAATGCAGAATGCAGTGAGTACAAATCCAACGGCAAGAAGCAAAGGGGTGACAGTAACCAGAGCATGACAGGCTCTAATGAATGGGATAGGGTGATGATAATACTGAAGTGATGGTGGCATTCAGTTAAAAATGAGATGGTGATGTGATGAGGAGGTTGGGGATAGATATTTATGTCCAGGCATGAGAGAAGAGGGGAATATTGTCCATTCATAGTGGGGTCGTGATGATTGGTAACTATTGGGTGTGATATTCCTGGCAGGTATCAGCAGTTCCTGATCAAGGGGAGATGGTTGTCGGTAGCCAGTGGGTGAAACAGTCAGAGGAGGTGGGAAGAGAACTCCAGCAGTGAGGAGAGCAGTAGGTGGGTTGGAATGTGTCCTGGTTGATAGCTGTCATTATCACCCAAGAAACAAGATATAAACTCATGCCATTCAGTACCACCAAGAAACAAGATATGAACTCATGCTAAAAGAAGACAAGGAAATTGCAATGAATCCAGATTTGAGGAATAAGGGTAATTAATACATTATTGGCCCAAAGAGAAGCAGAGAGTGGGATGGAGAAAGCTCTGAGCCATGTCAGGGACTTGGCTTTGCTTCCCCTTCTCAAAAAAAACAGAAAATATTATTCTTGAGCTCAAGCTTTTCTTGTAAACGTGTGGGGTCCCAGCACTGGTGGTTGCCTTGCAGCAGGGCAGCAGCTCCTGGCCTGAGGACGGTGAGTCTACTAAAAACATCCTATCCTCCATCTCTTCCCTAACAGCCTAGCAGGTTTCCCTGTTGCAACACAGGAACAAAATGCAGGCAAACATTTCTCCATCACTGCCCATCATTCCTACCCTTGGCTGTGTTCATTTATTCCGCAGGTATTTCATGAATATTTCATCGAGTTTTGGATTCTTCTCCAGTTTTCCTTTCCTTCCAAATGCATCTGTGTAGACAAGACCTCCCACATCCCACTTGCATGCTACCCTGTGCAACACTTCACACTTCTGTGAATCCTCCAGCGTTCTTGGCATTGCATTTACCTCAGTTTCTCTCTGCTCTTGTCAGCAATCTGCATTAAAGCAACAAAGACACCTCCAGGTACATGCAGCAACATCTCCTTCCCACCAGAAGGTGCTCCAAGATTCCCAGTATCTATAAGCAGTTCCCTTTTTGTGTTCCATCAGGGAGGGCTGGGCTGGGCTCAACTGGGACACACTGCTGCCCCACAACGACAAAACTGACAGTCCTCAGCCTTGCCCAGGACCATTCCCTGGCACTTCTCTCTCACCAGTTCCCAAACAGAGGAATGTTTCCCACAGTGGCTGTATGTCCTGCTGGCAGGACACAGCTCCCTGCGTTGCAAGGCAAGCCCTGTTTGTGACCTCCAGCATTGCTGGAGCAAAAGCTGATGTGCTGGAGCAATCACACACCTTAGAACAGCTAGAAGAGCAAAGTCAGCCTCCATCCAGGAAAAAGAAGCAGCCACAGACTTGGCCACACCACTTTCCTGTGCAGCTCCCTTGTGGTGCTGTCACTCAGCCCAAGCTCAATGCAACCCAAGCATTTGATATATGTTTTTCCCTGCACTCCCAATTGTTCATTCTTGGGCCAGTGGAGAGGCAAGATTCTGCAGGGCTTTGTCCTGTTGTTTGTGGATTCATTGCAATCAGAGCTCGAACTCAGTGCTGAGAATTTGAGACTTTGCTACTTCTAGCAAAAGCACATCACTCAGTAAAGGCTGAGCTGAGCTTGCTTTGCTGTTATGATACTTAGAAGAGTTCTGGGCATTTCAGTGATAAGAATGCCTCTGCATATTCAGCAGCTATGGGGCTTCAAGACTGGGATCCACAAACTCTCCAAACTACCTGTGGAGCTAATACCTTCCCCAGCAGGACAGAAGAGTACAGGGGAGGAAACAACCTTCCTTCCCTGGATCCAGGACTGTCAGTTATCCCTGCATGAATGCAACTGCACTGCATTCTGATAGCGTTGTTGGAAATCCTTACGGCTGCTGCTTCCAGGCATATCTCTTGCTATGAGCTGGCACCCCCATTCATCCTGGCACTGTAGGAGCTAGGACCCTGAAACCCTGCTGCTAAATCAGGGCTGGAGACTGTCTGCTGAAGAAAAACCTGATGGCAGCCTGAGGCATGGCTGGGATGCAGCACATCCAGTCCTTTTACCTTCTGTGCTGCTGTACCGGTGGGAGCTCCATGGGTAACCTCTGCTGCTATCTCACATTTCACCCCAAATATGTCATTTTCTTCCTCTTTCATTGCAGAGGTCATCCTCAGAGCTGCTCAGAAGGCATGGACCAAATAAAGCTGGTGCTGGGCAGAAGGGGACCAAGGGCCAGCTGCTGGAAGGTGACCATCATTGCCACTGTCGTGGGCAGTGTGACAGCTCTCTACCTGGGGATCCTGCTGGGTGAGTGCATAGCCAGGACGTCCATCTGCTCCAGAAGAATAATGGTCTGCACAGTTCACTGCAATAATTCCCATACCAGAAACCCTCAAAATATTCTTCTGAGGACAGAATATCACCAGCACTCCCCATTTACTCACCCAAACTGCAGAGGCTGATGTCACCTCTTATATTGAGTGATTTCCTTACTGTCGCCTGTGATTTCTTCCCCACTCATCCCTCTCAGCGACTTTCTAAATCTCTAGTTGCTTCCCCAGCCACTTCCTGCCTCATCCCCTTGCAGCCACTGATGGTCCCACTCCAGCACATAACCATCTCTTTGTCTCACCTGCTATTGGTGCCTCTGGTGTACCGTGGCCAGATGCCACGTCAGGCCAGCACCCCGCTGTGCCCAGCCTGATCTGCCTGGCAGATCCCACAAGTACATCTCTGCTGCATGGTGCCACTTTCTGAGCTGATTTGATAACGAGCACACCTTTCCCAGTCTGTTCCTGCAGGGATGGGGCCAGCCAGGGATCGCCCTGCAAGGCTGTAACCATCTATTTGGGAACTGTTGTTAAAGGCTTGATAGAAATCTACAGTTTTAATGTTCAGATTGGCTGTAAGTTCAGATTTCTCCTCTTGTACATGTGTGGGTTACCCTGCATGGCCACATGGCACCTCCAAGGCACTGCAGGGACAGATAAGCTACTGAAACCAGGGAGGTAATGGCATGAGGTAACCCGTGTTCCAAAGCAGAGGAGGGATGAGCCCAGCCGCAGCCCAGACCTCTGTGAGCCATTTGTGCCTCTGACAGACACCTTCCTTCTCTGGCAGCCTGTCATCCTGCAGCAGAGACCAGCTTTGAGCACACTGTGGAATTGCGAGGGATCACGTTCAACAGCAGCTTGCAGGCAGAGAACTCAGACTACTACCGGGTGCTGACGCCCGCCCTCGAGAGGCTGGTGAGTTGAGCAGCTCTGCATCCCACACTCGGGGCAGGGGCTGCTGGGTGTCTTGGGCCCTATTCCTGCTGAGGAATAGGGCCCTGCAGTGGTTCCCCAAGGCCTAGCTCAGCGGAACGTGGAGAAAAAGCCAAGGGTGGGAGGAACACGAGCATCTCTTACTCATCAGGGTGGGAGCAGGGTGACATGTGCTGAGATGAGCTGGACTCAGGTGCTCCTGCTGCCTGCAGAGATAAGAAGATGTTCCAGTTAGCTCCAGCTTCCTGAAAATTCTGGCACCAACCAGCCCCACCTCCCTGGGGTTTTCTGCCCAGTGATAGTATGACCATCCTTCTTTGCTTTGCAGTTTCTGTCCAGTTTCCAGGACTCCCATCTGGACTGGAGCTGCACTGGTTGCACCATCCTGGGCTACAGGTGAGCGTTCTCAGGGTGTTCTGATGGGCTCCGCTATGAAACACACAGCTGTGCTCTTATTCTAAACTAGCGAAGAGAGAAACAGCTTTTAAGTCAAGGCTGGAGTTTTTTGGAGGGGAGGAGGGATTGCAGCGATGTTTTGCCTTCTTTAATTTGGAAATGTAGTCAGAAAAGCAAAGGGAAATGGCTTGTTCAATCAAAGCTGAACTTTGGGGCAAAGAAGAAAATGCAAATGACTGTTTTGATCCAGAGCAAACCTTCAGGTGCACCTGAGCCTGAAATTAAGAGTTAGTTTTGTTTCCCTCACGCTCCCCATAGGCAGGAAGCCTAAGAAGCTGTCCTTTCTGCTGCTGATGGAGCCACATGTGCTCAGGAATTCTGTCTTCCAGCAGGAGTGGGAACTCGAGTGTCATTGTCCGTTTCCGCCTCCGCTTCGCCCTGCAGGACTCCCAGCCCCTCAGCTCTGCCACGGAAGAGGACGCACTCCGACACGGGCTGGCGGCCGCACTGCAGGAGCAGGGCCTCTCCCTGGCCACCTTTGGGACGATATCCTCAGCTTCTCTTACAGGTGTGCTCCTCATGCAACCACTGGGCAGGCAGAGCAAGGCAGCCTGGGCTGCTAGCAGCTTCGCTCGCACCACCAAAGCCACCAGGCGGGGTCTCAAACAGCCACACTGGCTCAGGGCTGGACACCCTGGAGGCTTCCAGCGGAGTGCCCAGCAGCAATGTAAATTATTCCCTGAAACCATCTGACTAGAAATTCTCCTTAGCTAACTGCAGTCACGTGTGATCGTGGGTCTTTGAAAAGAAGTGTGCCTAGGAAATGTGAAGCTGTGGGCTCCTCTGCAGCCCCCTCTGCATTCACTGCAGTGATGGGAGCAGCCCAAATGGAACAGCTCTTTGCAGCTTCCACCTTGGAAGCTTTTCCTGGGATGCAGCTTGCTGCCACAGCTGCTGGGAGCTGCTCCCTACAGCTGCCATCACCCCAAAACCTTGCAGGGTTGTAGAGAGCTCCTTCCTCCCCATGCTCTGTGCCCCTGGTGGAGCAAAGCGGAGAAGGATTGCAGGAAGTGAACGGGGCTGGGAGCTCACTGCAGAGCTCCTGCAGACCATGGGATGGGGAAAGTGATGGCCAGGCAGGCTGGAGGTGAAGTAGAACCTCTGCCAGCGCTGCCTGGGAGCAGCAGTAATGAGAGTACACAGCTCCTGTGCCCTCCACTGGGGACCTCCCTGCTGAGCCCCACTTCTTCAATTCTGTTGTTACAGCTCCCAGTGATGTTTCTCCATACAAACCAGGACTGAAATCAGGTAGGAGCCGGGCAGCAGGAAGACCTGTGTGCCCTTCTGAGCAAATGCTCATCAGTGCAGCAATGTGTCCCAGTTCCCCTCCAGCCTCCTCCTCTCCGGCACTCTGCCTGCAGATACAAAATGTGTTTGCGCCCCATTTTATTCACCACACAGTGACCCAGGGCTGTGCTCCCCTGCTTCCCATGGAAGTTCAGCAAGAGCTGCAGCTCAGCTGCTGGCTCCATCATCTGGGGACGCAAGCATTGCTGGCTGAGTGTGGTGGTTGCCCCTGGTGGGGTTGGGGGGCAGCTGTGGAAGGTCTGCAGAAGACACAAGTGACCCGAGCCTTGCTGTCCCCAGGGAGCTGCCCTGGTGACATGTTCATGTGCCACAACACGCAGTGTGTGTGGAAAGAAAACCCTGAATGTGATGGCCAGAAGGACTGCGCCGACGCCTCTGATGAAAAGGGCTGCGGTGAGTGCCCTGCAACAGGACTGCTGGGGATGGGGGACGGGCAGCCTCTGACCAGTAGACTTCTAGCAGTAGGTTACAAGACAGCACAGCTTGTCAGACAAGTTGTCTGCATCAAGAGTTTGCACCCTAGAAATGTGCCGGTCCTGTTACCAACAGCAAAGGGACATGACAACGTTGGGGTAGAATGTCATATTCCCATGGGCTGGTGAATCCAATGATCCCAAACTGCAGCCATTCAGTGGCAGCACCCCAGGAAGCCTGAGCCACAAGGTCATGCCCAGCCCTATCTCCACACACCCGGCAGTGTGGAGCTGAGCTACTCTGTGCCTTCAGGAGCACATCTGACAGCTGGTGTGCGCACACACTTCCTTGCCTGAAAGGACTTTGGTAAAGGGAGCATATTCTGCAGGCATCTCCCACAGCCACTGCTGGAGGAAGGGAGTCTCTCCCATTTCCCTGCAGTGCTACTGCTCCCCTGTGCACACCCAGGATGACCTATAGGTGTTGCAGGTCCAACAACCAGCCCACACCTTTCTGGTCTACAGTGTTCCAGGCAGTCATCTCTGCATAACTGTGGACTGCTGGAAGCAGCTCAGCAGCGGCTGAGCTTGTGAAGCTAGAAGAGATAATTCGCTCTGGATTTTTCTTGCTTGTAGGAGTTTCAGAGAGGACTCTGTGGTGGGTCAGTGCTTTGCAGTGCCCTTTTCCAGATTTGCAGGTCTCTTGTGACATCTCTAGAAATGTTTGGTTCTTGAGTACGTGCACAAGCAGATTTTCCCACCTGCCCCAGGGAACGCTTTGCCGGGGCACAGCTGGCGCAATCCTGATGCTCCCTCATCTCTTTCAGACTGTGGGAGCCGCCCTGCCATGCAGACTACCAGCAGGATAGTCGGAGGCACAGAGGCATCCAGAGGGGAGTTCCCCTGGCAAGTCAGCCTGCGAGAGAACAATGAGCACTTCTGCGGTGCTGCAATCCTCACAGACAAGTGGCTGGTGTCTGCTGCTCACTGCTTTACGGAGTAAGTCCTAGCTGTGCTATTCCCAAATGCTGTTCAGTCTTCTGGCCCAGACCCCCTCTGCACCACGCAGCTCCATCAAGCATCACGCTGCAAGGAGCCCACGTCCCAGAGCAGACAGCAGGGCGTGCAGCAGGTTGCACAGTGCAGTAGGGCGATGCTGCAGGGCTGCACAGTCCCAGCTATCTCTCTTCCAGGTTCCAGGACCCGGCCATGTGGGCAGCTTACGCAGGGACCACCTCCATCAGCGGTGCAGACAGCAGTGCAGTGAGAATGGGCATTGCCCGGATCATCCCTCACCCCTCCTACAACACCGACACAGCTGACTACGATGTGGCTGTGCTGGAGCTGAAGAGACCCGTGACCTTCACTAAGTACATCCAGCCCGTGTGCCTGCCACACGCTGGGCATCACTTCCCTACCAACAAGAAGTGCCTGATCTCTGGCTGGGGATACCTCAAGGAGGATTTCTGTAAGCAAATTGTGGCGTGTGGCAAGGGAGGCAGCAGGAAGGGCATGCAGATGGGGTGGGCTGTCATACAGGATCCCACGCCAGGCTCTCTGCACAGAGCTCATGGCTGAATCTTTCCCATTTAGTGGTGAAACCTGAGTTCCTGCAGAAAGCAACGGTAAAGCTGCTGGACCAGGCACTGTGCTCCAGCCTGTACAGCCATGCCCTCACAGACAGGATGCTCTGTGCTGGTTACCTGGAGGGGAAAATTGACTCCTGCCAGGTGAGCATTGCCCTGGGAAGGTGACACACATCCCTGCATGAGGCTTCTCCTGGCTGGTATGTACCAAGTAGCACTTCCAGAAGCAGGATTCAACACCATGCTAGCAGCACCCCAGAGTTTTGGGGCCATGCTTTGGATCCAGCCATGGGTCAGGGATAGCAAAAGAGGAAAAATATGTTCTGTAGTGCTCAGTGCAGGGCACTGATGTTAAGGGGATTCTTCAGCTGTTTAACTGCCTTCCTCTGCTTGCTGACTTGTAGTCACCATAGGACCAAGTTAAAAAAAAAAAAAAAAAACATGAAAAGGTTAGCATGGCCACCCTGTATATCGCACAGTGTCCACCCACCACCTGGCTCTTCAGGGGTGGCTGGGCTTAGCCTTTAAGAGCAGCAGCTTAACAGCTCACTGAACCAGCAGCATGTTATGGAGGATGTTCTTGTGCTCTTCTGGCAAGTCAAGGGCATAAGAATACAGTTTAACAGCAAAGCACACTAAGAGCAGTGTGGGAGCTGCTTCACCCATCACTAGGCTGAAACAAATCCATGGAGAAGAGTTTACCACCTGGGCTTCTCTTGCAGGGGGACTCTGGTGGGCCGCTGGTTTGCGAAGAACCATCTGGCAAGTTTTTCCTGGCAGGAATCGTGAGCTGGGGAATTGGATGTGCTGAAGCCAGGCGGCCGGGGGTTTATACACGTGTTACCAAACTGAGAGACTGGATCTTGGATGCTATTTCTCCCTTTCCCACCTCCATAACACGCACTGTCCCACTAATACACTCAAGTAGTAACAGTAATGTGGTCACCGCTGAAGAACTCAACGCCATCACCAGCACAGCAATCCCCACCTCTTCACCAATTGCCAGCAAACCAGCAACTGCACCCAAACCACAAGGTATGATCACCCAGGGGGTGGGTATGACCTCAGGAAGAGGAGTGGCTAGCACATGAGAGTGCAAGGTCTGTTCTTCCACTGAGCTGGAATTCCCACTGGCAGTTGACCCACACAACCAACCACTGTATGGCACTTGCTGCCTGCACAGCTGAGCGTCACGGGCTCCTTCACCTGTGCAACCAAATGGGCAGATGTTTGCCCAGCACTGGCTGACTCTGCATTTCTCCTTGATCGCTCACTTCTCTTTGCCACATGGAACTTCCCAGAAGTTCAAAATCGATAGCTGAAACCTAGTAGCAGCCATGCATCATCCCACTTAGGTTCCCTGTGGGAAGGAAGCATGACTTGTCAGCTCCGAGATGTGCACAGCCAGGGACCCCATGGTTAGCAGGCATGGGCAGCTGTCCCCACCTTCAGCCCTAACCTGTCCCTGCTCAGACTTACTGTTTAGAGAGAGCCAAAGCCTCTGCTCATTTCTCTTCTGCTAGGAGTACTCATAGGTCATGTTTTGGCTTTCGTTCAGAGTGTGGAGGACGACCTGGCCTTTCTAAACCCAACAAGATTGTGGGAGGAACCGATGCTTCCAGAGGAGAGATCCCGTGGCAGGTCAGCCTGCAGGAAGACTCCATGCATTTCTGTGGGGCAACGATCATTGGGGACCGCTGGCTGCTGTCAGCTGCACACTGCTTCAACGAGTGAGTCCGTGCCTGCTGGTGCAGGTACAGATAGGAAAAACTGGCTGTAACATAGGAAATAAACACATAGTGAGATGGTTGGGTACTGAAATGGGCTGCCCAGGGAGGGAGGAGGTGGGTCACCGTCATGGGAGGTGTTCAAGAAACGTTCAGATGTTGTACTGAGACACATGGTTCAGTGAGCAGTATTGGTGGATTGGATGATCTCAGAAGTCTTTTCCAACCTTGGTGAGGCTAAGATTCTATAATCAGCTCTTAATGAGAATGTGGGCAGTTCATGCCTCCATTGGCATGACCTATAGATGGCCTAGCACAGAGCATGGGTAGCAAGAACACAGTACAACAACAATAAATCCTGAAAGCAAAACAGGTGGGGGGGCATCAGCTGGGAGTTCCAGGAAACTCCCAACTGATGTTAAACAGCTGGACAGGAAAACAGAAAGTGAAACAAGAAGCAGCTCTGCATCATTAAACAGTAGACCTTTTCACTGTATGAAGTGATGAATGTTTGAAGTTCACATGGAGTTAAAAAATGAGAAAACAACTAGAAAAATTCTAATAGAAGCCATCCATCCACAGATTTTGAGTATAAGCACCATTTGTATGCTGCTGTAATCCTCAAGACACACATTTTGGGGGGCAGGGAGAGGATTACCACACATTTTCCTGCTCTTCAGCACACATCCAACAGGTGCCACTGCTGGAAGCAGAATTCTGGGGACATATCTGTGTGCTCTGGGCTTTGCTTTGGTAAAGTGAGGCTTCAAATACAAATCCCTTAATGCTGCCTGCAGTTTAAACAGCCTGCCAGCTCAGAATTCGGGATAGGTGTATGTGTGCGAGCGTATGTATTCAGACTGTGTATTTACAGGACAAATCCAGAAGAGATTGAAGCCTACATGGGAACAACATCACTAAATGGAACTGATGGGAGCGCAGTGAAAGTCAGTGTAACACGAGTGATCCCACATCCTCTCTTCAACCCCATCCTTCTGGACTTTGATGTAGCTGTACTTGAGCTGGCAAGACCCCTTGTCTTCAACAAATACATCCAGCCCATCTGCCTCCCACTCGCTGTGCAGAAGTTTCCTGTTGGCAAGAAGTGCATAATTTCTGGGTGGGGAAACCTCCAAGAAGGGAATGGTAAGCAGTGATGTGTTATCAGTTGATTTGCTCTGGAACAGACAGATTCAGCAGCAAAGCCTGTGTGACTGTGACCCTACACGTATACAGGGTAGGGGAGGTCAGGACCAAACAGAAACATAAGTAAGCAAGAAACAGGGCACACCTTAAACTGCAGTTATTTGGGAGCCACCAGCAAACAAGGTAAGGGAGATGGCTTGGCAGGAGCCAGGAGAACCCATCTGGCTCCCCTCACTGGTTCTCTCATATTAAGCAAGAGTGGAGCACTGCCTTGGCAGCACTTGATGCAATAAGCTCAATGTTGTCCTTGTTGATGAGGCTCAGTCCAATGATGTTCCAAGCAATGAGAAAGAGCTAGGAACCCAATTCAGGGGGAAGGCCTTAGGGGGCTATGTGTGCTACCAAAGAAGCTCTGCTGACTCTCTACCAGCGACAAGGAGCCCACCAACTGCCAAGACAACAGAAAATGGCTGCCTGTGCCCAGTGGCCTGTATCCAGGCCCAAAACTGCACCCTGAGGTGAGCCAGGAGCTTCAGGGGCTTCCAGTAGGAGGGCAGTTCATGCGGGATGCAGCTCCTGTCTGGGACCGGAGCTTGCTTTTCTGAAGCGTTGGAAGCAGTCGTAGCTCCTGCTTTCCTCTGCTGCACTAATCCCATGCTCTGCACGCAGACACCATGTCTGAGATCCTGCAGAAAGCATCTGTGGGCATCATAGACCAGAAGACCTGCAACTTCCTCTACAACTTCTCCCTCACTGAGCGGATGATCTGCGCTGGTTTCCTGGAGGGGAAGATAGACTCATGCCAGGTAAGAGCCTGGGATTTCTCCGCTCCTCTGCAGCTTGCTCCTGTGTTAACAGCCTCAGCATGGCGTTGGGAAATATTTACCGAGCTTCCCATGTGTACCTTAGCTTAAAAGCACGGCCTGCTCTCCTGCAATTTTAAAAAAGCAAATGAAGGTCCTTCAAATTAAGCATGACTTAAAGCAGTTCAATCCCACTGCCCCATCTGGGCTGCCAGCAACCCTGGATGAAGCAGGTTTCCTGTGGCAGCAGTACAAGAAGTGGTTGTTGTTGATTCCCCTCCACTTGCAGAAGGGTGCTGTGAGATGTTGGCATTCCTGGCAAACACTACTGCGTAGTTTTGCAGCCAGGTTGAGCCATCAGCACCAATTTAAGCCTCTGGGCAGTCACGTGTTGCACACAGTGCATGGGAACGGAGCCCCTCAGGGCTGGAAGGAGAATGAGAGCTTAGCTGACTTCTCGTGGTGTGGCTGAGGAGCAGTTCTGTGCACATATGTGCTGGAGACGTGGGCTGAGCATCCATGACCTTGCTTCTTCCCCAGGGAGATTCAGGAGGGCCCTTGGCCTGCGAGGTCACCCCGGGCGTGTTTTATCTGGCTGGCATTGTGAGCTGGGGAATTGGATGTGCCCAAGCTAAGAAACCTGGTGTGTACTCCAGAATTACCAAACTCAACGACTGGATTCTGGATACCATCTCACAGTTTCCCAGTCCCAGCACAGGTGCTCCTTCCAGTTCAGCCACCACCAGAACTACTGCAGACATCCTCATGCTCCATCCCAGTACAGCAGCTACAAGTGCCATCAGTGAAACCACGCTGAATGAGAAGACTACCACCACCATGGAAGAAACCTCCACAGCTCTGAAATCCACTGAGCCTGCCAAGCCCACCCACGCTCCAGGTAAAAGTCCAGTAACGGCAAATTCATTGAGACCTGCAGCCCTGGAACAGAGGGCGCTGAGTTGGGTTGTTGTCTTCCAGTGGTGCCTTGTACCAGCCTCACCTTCAGGTGTTCCAGCAACGTCTGTATTGGAAAAGAAAATCCCGAATGTGACGGAATTGTTGACTGCAGCAATGGCTTTGATGAGAGCAATTGTGGTAAGCACTACTTTGCAGCCTCCTGCCCAGTCTGCCACTAGGAGCTGGCATGCCAGCTCTGCGCAGCACCACTTGCCATCCGAGTGCCATTACTTGGGCTACACATCCCTTGTTGTGTGACAGCTCAGGTCACACATCCCCATGTGAGATAACAAGTTCCCAGATGTGTCACACTGCAGGGGATAGGGAAGGAATATCTGTTATGCTTATGGTTATTTAAAACCGTAGTGCCTCTTCTTCTGTCCCAGACTGCGGCTTAACCACTGCTCTGGCCTTCAGCAAGATCGTGGGTGGGAGCTCTGCAGCTCGAGGAGAATGGCCGTGGCAAGTCAGTCTCTGGCTTCGACAGAAGGAGCACAAGTGTGGGGCTGTCCTCATTGCCGATAGGTGGCTGCTCTCTGCAGCTCACTGCTTTGATATGTAAGTCTGAGACGGCCCTCGGCCTCCCTCCCATCTGCCCTTCCTTTCCTTGTGGTCGGGATGCTGTGCCTCACCAGAAGCACACACTGCCTGTTAGAGATGAGCCCCTACAGGTAAGCAGGAAGAGGAATGAGTGGAGCAAAGCCTGGGTGCACTGCAGTGTGATGGAGATGGGCTGTGGCCTCACAGTGTGTGGCTGTGATGCATCCCAGCCCCACAGATGCAGGAGCAGCACTCCTTGCTAGCCATGCTAACAGCCAGCTCTGCTGTCTTTCTGCAGTTACAGTGACCCGAAAATGTGGGTGGCATTTCTAGGAACACCCTTCCTGAATGGCAACGATGGCAAAATGGAGAAAATATTCCGTATCTACAAGCACCCTTTTTACAACGTCTACAGCCTGGACTACGACGTGGCACTGCTGGAGCTGAGCATGCCTGTCAGGTTCAGCAGCACTATCAAACCCATTTGTCTCCCAGACAACTCACACATCTTCCAGGAAGGAGCCAGGTGCTTCATCACAGGCTGGGGCTCCACCAAGGAAGGAGGTACTGCCTGGCAGGGCTCCTTCACACACCCATGATGGCCATGTTAAGTGCCACCCACCTTGCAGGCCCCACTACACTTCCCATCCCACTGCCCCAAATATTCCACATAACCCATGCTCTGTAGGGGATACCTCTGTCCCCCACAGGCTGTACCCATCCATCTGGTTACACCTCCCAAGCTTTCTAACGGCAGCCATGGCACTCTCCATCCTTCCAGCTGCTCCAGCCATGCTCCTGCAGCACAAGGACTGCTTTGATCCCATTTCTGTTCAGTCAGCTGAACTGCCTGACAAACAATAGCCCAAAAGGACATTCCTGTGCTTCCTCTGCTGGGGAGGAACCAGGCCTGGGTCACCTTCCCAGTGCAGGTTTCTTTCCTCTTGCACATGAGGAAATCTACAGAGACCCTACTCCTACACATGCTTCTATTTCTTGTGAGCTCTGCACCAAGCTAACAGCGATATTTGCCTCCTCAGGCCTCATGACAAAGCATCTGCAAAAAGCAGCAGTGAATGTGATTGGAGACCAGGACTGCAAAAAGTTCTATCCTGTCCAGATCAGCAGCAGGATGGTGTGCGCTGGTTTCCCACAGGGTACCGTCGACAGTTGCTCAGTGAGTGTGAGCAGCAAATGGTGCTGTGGAATGGAGCAAACTCATGCAAAGTCCCCACGTCCTTTAGGAGAGCCATGCCCTACCCCCAGCCCAGCTGTCCATCCCACCACCTCCTCTTCCCATCACCTCATCTGAGTCCATCCCACACATGCTGTGCTGTGTTCCACCTCCCTGGGACAGCTCAGGGATACACACAGAGGTAACACTAAACAGGACACCACGAGGGTAACACAGAGCCCATTTCACAACCCTGCTGCATCTCCAGAAATGTCTCAAGAGTCCCAGTCTCTGTGCATACAAATGCATCACTGAGCAGCCCTCTGGGCTCCAGCAGAGGCAGGCAATGGGACAGCAAATGTTCCTGCATTCTGGACAGCACAATCATCTTCAAGCTGGGGGCTGGGTTGGCTTGGTTGTCTTCTTGGCTTGGTACAGGACCCTTTTCCTCTCTCTGCAGGGTGATGCAGGTGGGCCCCTGGCATGTAAAGAACACTCAGGACGGTGGTTTCTAGCAGGAATCACAAGCTGGGGCTATGGCTGTGCCAGGCCGTACTTCCCTGGGGTCTACACCAAAGTCACAGCAGTGCAAGGCTGGATCGCGCAAAACCTCAAGCTCTGAAGCTGAATTTCACCACTCAGGGAAGGTGACGAATGAGAAGAATAATTGCCAGGGGACACACCGACCCCACCACCACTACTGTACACTTTTTGGATGCTGCAAAGGGGTGAAGATGGTCTGCAAGTACTCAGCAAATGCTTGTGTGGTATGACCCACTGCAGTCGTTGACACTGGGTTATTTGATAACTGCTTTGCTTAGAAAGATGCAATTCTAGACTTTTTTTTTTCTATAAATAAATGAGACCTGTCCCATCTTCAGACATGGCCAACATCTTGTGCATTAACACCTGGCCTTCTGAGCCGGAGGGATGACACAAACACATGCCAGAAAATCACAGCATGTAGGTAAGCTCTGTCTGTGCACTGCCATCTCAGAGTCACTCTAAGAGACAAATGGACTCGGTTGCAGCCCTGAGTTATGCCCCTACAAAGTGTCAGCACATCACTGCTGGGATGGTGCTGTTGTGCAGTGGATTATGGAAAGCTGCAAGTGGCTGTTTACATAGGCGGATAGTGATAGGACAAGGAAGAATGGTTTTAAACTGAGACAGGGGAGGTTTAGGTTGGATATTCGGAGGAAGTTTTTCAGCCTGAGGGTGGTGAGGCACTGGAACAGGTTGCCCAAGGAGGTTGTGGATGCCCCATCCCTGCAGGCATTTAAGGCTAGGCTGGATGTGGCTCTGGGCAGCCTGGGCTGCTGGTTGGTGACCTGCACACAGCAGGGGGTTGGAACTGGATGAGCATTGTGGGCCTTTGCAACCCAGGCCATTCTATGGTTCTGTGAAATTCTGTGATTCCTGTGAAAGGGTACACTACCATTTTTGTTTCACCATCCATTGGGTGGCTCTCTGTGTGATCCCAAGAGAAGCTATAGAAGTGAGACACTTGGAATTCAGCCTGCCCAGGCCCTCATCTGCATTAGTCAGCACAGGCTTCTCACCCCCACAGTAGCTCTCTCTGTGTAAGGGAAAGAGTGATTACATTATCAAGGACAGAGACTTGGACACACATGGTGCTGTTTGGGTTAAAGCAGAGGGAAGTCCGGCCCCACCACACAGCTGTGGCCGACACGGACCTGGCCAGCTCCGTGCCTTCCCATCAAAACAGCACTGGGCTTCAAGGTGCACACAGCGGGAGGTCTCGGCGCAAATAAAAGCCAGAGGAAGCGCAGGGTTCTATGAGGGTTTATTGCAGCCGCCTGCGCGTTCCGTCCTGCGTCACATGTTGGCTCTCTCCCGCTGCAGCCGCGAATTGTAGGCGCGAGAAACCGCGTTCCAGGCGTCCATATAGCGGTCCATGCACATGGCGATGCACTTCTGCGGCACGCGGAGCCGTGAGCGGGGGGAGCCCCGGGGGCGGCCGCCCGCAGCGCCCCGCAGCGCCCCGCAGCGCCCCGCAGCGCCCCGCAGCGCCCCCCTCACCTGCTCCGAGTTGTCCAGCGCTCCGCCGGGCTTCCCGATGCACTTCCGAAAGCATTTATCCGTCATACGCTGCGGAAAGAGCCGTCAGCCGTCCGCCCCCCCCCCCCCCCCCCCCCCCCCCCCCCCCCCCCCCCCCCCCCCCCC